TTCCTTCCTTCCTTCCTTCCTTCCTTCCTTCCTTCCTTCCTTCCTTCATAAAGTCCCCTCTGCTGGCAGCATGGAACACAAACTAGCAGACAGGTCAGATTAAAGCCATAGTCAAAGTTAGAACTTGACTTCAGGTCAGACAGACTCAGTACAAGGCCTAGGCCGGTACTTGGTCACCAGGCCATAGTGACTTATTTTTTCTTTTTGAAGTAATATACACAAGGAAAACGGTCAGGGTTGAATGAAGAAGCAATAGTAGGAAGCAGCCATCCCCACTTGGAATGAGGAAGCCCAGGCCTAGGAAAGATTGTTTACTATAATTATTGTTTTATCTGGATATTTGAGAGTAAGAGTTGGGATTGGGAGACAGAGAGAAGGAGAAGAACTGAAGGGAGAGAACAGTCGTGAGACAAAATGAACACTCGAATAATAAACGCCATGGTCATGAGGAAGCCGCATCTTGGGATGACCTGGCTGAAGGGACACGGGCCCAGCAGTTAGATGGGGGTCTGGCATTGTTGCTTCTAGTCCATTGCCCTTGCTAAGGCAACGGGAATCACCTTTACACTCTTCCTTCATATGCTAGGGGCCTAGACCAGGCTGTCCTTTAGCTCGGTGAGCAGAATCCAGTTTGGATGTGACATCATCAATTAAAAACCTTCTTGTTTGTCATGTGGCATAGAAACTAGGTTAGCAACGAGGGAAAAGAAGCCTCAATTACACAAAAATACTTATAATGCTATTGTTAGTGTGGATTAATTTCAAATCCTGTTGACCCACATGGAATCATAGATAATAATCCAGAAGGGCCGCTAGCAATTGAGGTGCAGTGTTGAGAGCAGGGGGAGGGGGAGTGTTGCAGAGAAGGGGAAGGGTGGGGTCCTGAGGTTTGAACCCTAATGTTCTCAGTGTGAGCTGTGTATAGCTTTAAAAGGTGGGGCCAGATAGAAACTGCTCTTTAACCGTCTCTGTTATGTTTTTAAAACATTTTCCTGTGATTTGTGAATGAATGTCTGACATTACTGGATTAATACAGTTTGTTATTCTACTTAAAATCGTTCTTGACTTAGCCACTGTGCTGGAATGGGGGCACAAATAAACAAAGGAACCCCAAACTCCAGAGGTTTATAAAGATTCTACTTTCGTGTTACCACCTTCTTCTTCTTCTTCTTCTTCTTCTTCTTCTTCTTCTTCTTCTTCTGAAATGTGCTCTTTACTTAAGATCTTTAAAAAATATTTATTTATTTCTTTTATATACAATATTGTGTCTGTGTGTATGTCTGCAGGCCAGAAGAGGGCACCAGACCTCATAACAGATGGTTGTGAGCCACCATGTGGTTGCTGGGAATTGAACTCAGGACCTTTGGAAGAGTAGGCAATGCTCTTAACCACTGAGCCATCTCTCCCTTTACTTAAGATTTTAGTAAAAAAAAAAAATGTGTATAAAGACAGGCTTTGCAGTGTAGTCTGTGATCCTGGCTTTTCAGAGGCTATAGCCGAGGGATTGAAAGTTCACACCTGGCAAGTGCAGTGTGAGTTCAAGACCAGCACCAGCAACTTAGCAAGTGAGAGTGAAGGAAAAGCTGAGGACAGGGGACAGGGAACAGGGGAGCAGTGGGTAATTAGCATCCTAACCTCGAGCCATATGCAGCAAACAACACGTGAAGCACTTTTGAAACCATTAATGCTCTATTTTAAAAAGAAAAGACACAATGGGAAGTTTGGGGTTGGTCCACCATCCCTCAGACTCTATACCTCACGTTAAATTCTGGGTACTTAGAAGGCAGAAACTGTGTATAAAGCAAAGTTGGTAATTGGTTGGTGTGCCTTTCGATGGCTCAGTCTCGAGCAAGCGCATCTGGTTCTGATTTCACGTGGAATGCAGTTGATATATGTCATCTGTGATGCCCTTATTGACACGGTCCCTCTTGTGTGTTCCAGGGCCGGCTTGATTCTCTTACAGAAGTGGATGACTCAGGGCAGCTAACTATCAAGTGTTCTCAGAATTACTTGTCTCTGGACTGCGGTATCACTGCGTTTGAACTGTCTGACTACAGTCCAAGTGAGGATCTGCTTGGTGGCCTGGGTGACATGACCTCTAGCCAGGCCAAAACAAAACCTTTTGACTCTTGGAGCTACAGCGAGATGGAAAAGGAGTTCCCGGAACTTATTCGAAGTGTTGGGTTGCTTACTGTGGCCGCTGACCCTGTTCCTTCCAGCTGTGAGGCTGCCAGTGAGGACGCACCTCAAGAGCCTCTTTCAGAAGAGAATAAAGGTGAGCAGGAGGAACACAGTGCTTCAACATCTGGAGAGCAGCCGGGCTCAACGTCAGGGATGCCGTCCTTAGGAGACGCGCTGACAAACGCGGTGGAACACCCTTCGGAGACCGCAAAGCAAGACCCCAGTTCCTCCCCGCAGCTGGGTGCAAAGAAAACCCAGCCTGTTCCTTGTGAAATTATGACTCCCAAGAGATCCATTCGCGATTGCTTTAATTATAACGAGGACTCTCCTACACAGCCCACGCGGCCCAAAAGAGGGCTTTTCCTCAAAGAAACTCGCGTGAGTGAGCGGAAAGGCAGTGATGGCAAGAGGCAGCTGGTTGACCTGAATCCAGAGTTGAGCAGAAGCACCCCTTCCCTGGTGGACCCCCCTGACAGATCCAAGCTCTGCTTAATATTACAGTCTTCCTATCCCAGCAGCCCTTCGGCTGCCAGCCAGTCCTATGAATGTTTGCACAAGGTAGGGATTGGCAATCTTGAAAACATAGTCAGAAGTCATATTAAAGAAATTTCTTCCAGTTTGGGAAGGCTTACTGACTGTCATAAAGAGAAATCTCGACTGAAAAAGCCACACAAGACCTTGGCAGAGGTGCCTCTGTGCCGAACCCCTAAACGAGGTACTGGTTCGGAAACGCAAGCCCAAACCACCAGGGGCTCAGCAGTGCCGAGTGCGGTGCCTCCTGGGGCTCCCAAGGACATGGTGAGGCCAGAAACGGATTCTGCGTCAACATCCTCCTTCGAGCTGCCCCATCAGAGAAACTGGAGCCGGCTCTTGCCAGCGCAGTCCGAGGTCTCCAGCTCATCCCGTTGCAGTCACAGCAGCGAGTCCTCTGTTGGGTCCGACAGCAGCAGAGCTCCGGCTCATCTTCTTTCAGAGACCGAAAGCCAAAAAGATGGCTCTCCTGTTCCAAGTCACATCACCCAGAACAGTCAGGAGGAGGAGGCCTGGTACGGCTCTGATGAATACCTGGCGCTACCGTCCCACCTGAAACAGACAGAGGTGCTGGCCCTGAAGCTGGAATCTCTCACCAAGCTTTTGCCTCCGAAACCCAGAGGAGAGACGGTCCAGAACATCGACGACTGGGAACTGTCCGAAATGAACTCTGACTCGGAAATCTATCCAACATACCACAGCAGGAGAAAACACACAAGGCTGGGCAGGGTGTCCCCAAGCTCATCCAGCGACATAGCTTCTTCTCTCGGGGAGAGCATCGAGTCCGGGCCCCTGAGTGACATTCTTTCCGATGAGGACTTATGCGTGCCCCTCTCCTGCATGAAAAAATACGCGGATGAGAAATCAGAGAGGCCTTCGTCCTCTGAGAAGAACGAGAGCCATTCTGCTACAAAATCAGCTTTAATTCAGAAGCTCATGCAAGATATTCAACACCAAGACAACTATGAAGCCATTTGGGAAAGAATAGAGGTAAGCTTAGCTTTCCTAGTGATTTCTCGCCTGAGTTTCAGAAACGGTGCTGGGGAGACGTTCTCCCCCTCCCCACTGCATTCTCAAATATGGTAACATTTTTTTTTCTTCGTCAAAGAAAGACGTGGAAAAGATACACAACCCCCACGTTTAGGCATTTTGTCTATCCCGAGGGTCTTGTCCGTATAGTCACTGCCTGCTGCAGAATTCTGTTTGTACTACTCAAACTGAGCAGGATTCCTGATGAACCATGGGCTGATGCCATTGGTCGAAAACAGCTTCAAACAGTAGCTGTGTACCCAAGGGTCTCTGGATGGAGTATCACAGTTACCTTCAGCACTTTTAAACCTCTTTTCTCAGCCCTAGAATGGCTCACTCGTCTCTTGTACCTGCTATTGGAAAGACCAAACATGTCCAACTTACTAGTTTTTCTCTCCTCCTCTTCCTTTTGGGGTCCTCGTGGTTATTACTAAACCATTTCTCATATGCACTACCCAGAGAATCTGGGAAAAGAAATTTAACTTGGGGTAAATCTCTACTTCTGGAAGGAATGATCGGATGTGGAAGAACCTTTAAAGACAGTCATCAAAACTCCATAATATAAGTTATGATTTTATTCTTTAAGAGGCATCTAGACCAAAAAGGGTTTGCTTTCTCTAGAACTGTTAGAAGCAGATCCAGTTAATTTGATTATTACTTATTTTTTAATTGACGTATAAATGTCCATATCTTGCAAAATTTGTTCAACACTTTATCTTGGGTAAAAATCTGCCAGATGCACTTCCAATCCCATGTCAGCCATTATGCAAAGAGGGCAGATCACACGTGATTATTCCTCTTTACGTCGATTGAAACTTGTCTGGTGAGCCTATGTTCACTCTCTACACTACACTAGTTGGGCTGATAGACATACCAACTCATCAATGCTTTGCTAGGAAAGCTAGGTTGCAAGTCTCTGTCTTGGTTCTTCAGTCGCTTTTACTGCTGCAGTGTTAGGGACTGGAATGTCTCTGACAGGGAAATCAGTAGCAGAGGAGAACCAGTGTCAGAGCCATCCGGATTTAGAAGAGAATGTTACTGTAACCCCTGGGTCCACTCAGACATTTCCCTCATTCTTTGATGGGTGTTTATTGTCGAACACTATTCAGGGACCGCTATAAGACTAGGCACTGTTAAATGGCACACAAGGACAGAATAACTTATAGAAAAACTAAGTCCATAAAATAAAAGTTGCCTAAATATAGACTAGTAATGTTTCAAACAATTGTTACCTCAAGTATTGATGTGTCTAATCCTCCTCACAATCTTAACATTAATTACAAGTGGGGTTAACTAATTGGGATAATATAGACAAGGAGCGTTGAAGGCAGAAATGATTGGACGCTTAGCAGAAAACAACCTCACACTAGCTCAGAACTAAGAAAACAGATAGGTGTTTATTAAGGGATAGACTTACAAGGTCAGGATGTTCTGCTTGAACAATGGACAAAGATCAGACCCAAAGCAAACCAAACAGCCAAAATGGGGTCCAGGGGCAAACAGAGAGAGGAAGGAAGGGGGCTGGACACGCTTCTGCATTGGGGTAAATAGTCCATGAGGCCACGCCCCAGTAGGCGGGTAGGTATTTCCGCAACAGAGAGTTGGACTAAGAGACAGCAGGCAGGCTTCTCTGGAGCCCACACTACTGTCTCTGAGTTCTTATGGCCCTCCTATATTATAAGAGGGATTATCTGTATTCTTGTATGGAAATGCTGTACACAGTAGGTGGAGAAGATATGGCATCTCTGGAAATTCTCGCGAAGTCCTAACCCTTGTGTCGAGCATCGAATGGCACGCAGGACTTAGACCTGTAGAAGTCTAGGAAGCATACACTAAGCTGCAGGGGTCAGAATGGGGATGAACTTGGCCATGGAGATGCACAGAGCCTTCCTAGCTGGAAAGTCTGTGGTCAGAAAGTGGAAGTTTCCACACCTAGAATAGACTTTATGCTGCAAGGCTCTGAAGAACGTCGCAAAACTATTAGGAGGAAACGAGAGTAGCAATGCGATCCATGTAGCTAGTGTCTTAACCTCTTACACTGTGTTTGATCTATGCTATGCTATGTGCCTCACATGTCTTGTCCTCCTTATAGCCTAGAGGGTAAGAACGACTTCAGATGAAGTTTGCCACATTCTAGCACAGAATGTAGTAAAGAAACCCACTCTGGCTTTTAGACATAAAGCAAAGAAAACCAGCCTACAATTCACAACCCCAGAGAACCTAGACAGCAATGAGGACCCTAAAAGAGACAAACATGGGTCTAATCTACATGGGAAGTAGAAAAAGACAAAATCTCCTGAGTAAATTTGGGAGCATGGGGACCATGGGGGAAGGAAGAAGAAGGGAGGGGTTCAGAGAAAAGTAAAAAAGAAAGAAAGAAAGAAAGAAAGAAAGAAAGAAAGAAAGGAAAGAAAGAAGAAACCCACTCCAATTCTGAGGACTTGAGCAGAACAGCGTCCATACCAGTGCCTTCTGGAAGGTTTGATTGGCAGTAAGAGAAATTAAGGCACCCTTGGTGGTGACCAGCATGGCGTCAACTTTAGGGGCCACGGTGATGCAGAGAAGGAAAGGGATCCTGTCAAAAGGAGTGGATGCGATCTAGCAAACTGATCCTAGGCCTTGCTCAACCAGCACAGCTTCTGGGCTGCTTTCCATTGTCACCTTTAGCCTCCCCCCTGTTTCCTCGGAGCCTCACAAAACAGCAAGCAGAAGACCTGCTAAAGGCCCATTTACAGGAGGAACCCAGCAGACTGTGCTCCGACTTGCCAGGGTACCTTAACCTGCATTTGGTACCTCGCATCTCAGATGGCTTTGTGGCTTTACGCCGGTTTTATTGGTAGGAAAATTTGCTTTGTAGTATACTTTTGCTCTTTTGAAACCCATTCTTGTTGGTTTATTTTTGATATTGTAATTTAATTACAAGTCTCCTTTTCTGTCCCTCCATCCAAACTCTTCCATATACCCCTCCCCACTCTCCATCAATTCCTGGCCTCTTTTTTCATTGATTGTTGTTGATCCCAGTTTCACTCGGTTGCCTGAAGTTCTGTGCGTAAGGTTTAGGCCTCATGGCCTTTTCCCTGTCCATTTTTGAAACCCATTTTTTAATAGACAGAGTAGTTATATGGTTGAAGAAAATAGACATTAAAATTCCATAGCATCTCTCCCTTCTATCCCCATACCCAGTCTTGGGTTCTGCCCTGCCCTGGGGTAATTGTTATCTATGGGCTTAAGTCCTTCAAGAAATTCTTGTTCAAATGGAAGCAAGAACAGACATATTTGTTAAGGAATACTTTATAAACCAGAATCAAGTCGCACCCTTTCATTCTTCACACATAGAAGCTCCTTTCTACTTGTTAGTATTTCCTGGCCCTCATAGGAAGCTTGAGGGTTTTTTCTCAGCTCCCCATGATTTACTGAGAGCCTATGGGATAGGTAAATTGATTGAGAGTTTCAGGTTTGAGGGTCCGCTGCTCTGTGAGCTTTCAACATAAAATTAAAAGAGAAAAATTAAATCTAGCCATTTGATTTTCTGATAAATGCATGACTTAGAATAAAAATGACGAGAAGATATTAGGGAAGGGAGTGGCTAAAGCAGGTGGACTTTAACATAGGTTAAAAATTAACCGATTGTAACGTCTGGATCTATATGGTGTAACTAACATTAGGGTACAAGCGCTGGCCTGAAGGGTGATTTTAGCCCAAGCCTGTTTATTCTTACTATTGTTGGGTTGCTTTACTTTGTTCCATTTTTTTCTTCGAAATGCTGAGCAATCAAACCTAGGATCTCATAACCTCATACATGCTAGGCCAGTGATCAACCGCTCAGTAATTCCTAGCCTGTTTGTAAAGTCATGCTTTTTTTTTTGTCTGTGAATATTTTGCTCTGCAATACTGCAATAATAGACTTGAGGAGTTGTGACAGAAAATATATAGCCTGTAAAGAAGGAAGCATTTCCTGTCTAGTCCTTTGTGGGGCAAAGTTCCTAGCTTCTGCTCTTGACTGAGGAGAAAGACGGGAAGCCATTTCTGAGTCACATGCATTATACGTCCATTTCTGCAGTAGAACCTTTCATTTCATTTGTACAATGACCCTTTGGGACACCTGTCCCATCTTACAGATGATGATTCTGAGGATCAAATGCAAATGATGGGCCTGAGGTCAGAAAACTGCTACCTGTAAGGGCCTGAGGTCACATGACTGCTAACTGAAAGGGCCTAAGGTTGTGTGGCTGCTAACTGTAAGGGCTGGAATCCAGTTGAGATGCTAGATAGAGGGACTTTGTTTTATCAGTGAGATTAAGTGAAATGCCAAGGATTTCAGACAGTAATCATATATATAGGTTAGAAATCTATTTATTAGATCCACAGACACACTCCTGGGTTCATAAACGGACGGTGGATGCTTTTCATAATGACTGCGTGGCAAACAGCCACTTGTCTAGCAGGGGGTGGGGGAGGTGAGGTTCTTGGATCTACTGTAACAGCTGAGTGATTCCCAGAATAGCAGCCCTAGGTGGCGTCACAGTGAAGACGTCCTGATAAGCATTCTCTGCTGTTGTCCAAGGTCCAAGGTCCACTTCTCACACCCCGGGGCTCCAGATAGCGCTGTCCTGGAGAATGTATCTTTGAGTCGGAGTCAGGGACCTCAAACTGACGTCTGCACATTTTAGATAGGTCTGTTTGTCCACACAGACACAAATGTCTTCAAACAGCAGATTACGGTGTCTTGGCTATAGTTAAATGGCTCAGCTGTTGTTCTGTCTTGTTCGGGAAGGCAACTATAAACCAGTTTTAAGAACTTTGCTGCCGGCTAGGGATGTCATCGCTCGTAAATTATTTTGGATTCAGCACAGCAAATACCAGTTCAGGGCTTGCTCTTTGTCACTGGGCTGCATGAAATTGTCACCCTGTCTGCACAAAGGCAGCTGTCATTGCGCTCCGAGATGGAACTGGGAAGCGAA